TGTTCTGCATTATGATATTAATAGTCTAATTTATGCTTTCCAAACAACTGAATATTTCTTTTTATAAATGAATGTCATGGTTTCCTTTGATTTTAAAATGAAAAACTTTGATTTAAATTTAGGACGTTATAAAATTTGAACAAAACTAAGAGTTCGTTCCCCTTTTCAAGTCGCTATCCCTTATACTATAAATGATTTTTTCGTGCAAAAAATGTATTCTCGTGAATTCATGGGCTTATCTTTTTTCTTTCTTTCTTTTTTTTTTTTTTTTGTATATTTTATATTTATTTTTTATTAAAAATTTGCTATATTTATTACTTTTTATATTGCCTAGGTGAACAAAAAAAATCAACAAAATATATTCCTTATGATAAACGACCCAAAATATTTTTATACTTACAACTAGAAAGGTTACCCCCGCTACGCGGGAGCCAAAAGTTTTCAATTTTGTTTTCGAATCGATAAATATGACAGATGTAGAAAGTGCAAGGATGAAAAACCCGGGTTTTGCCACAAATTTTTTTTTTATGTTTTTATGAAAAAATATAAAACTTTTGACTGTAAGGACCAGAAATATCATAATGACTAAAGAATTAAAGGGGTAGGAATTAGCAATTTTTTCAAAAAGGGATCAAAGTTGTCAAACCTTTAAAGTCTTGTGATCAATCTTTAAATATTAAAGGGTTCCTAAAAAGTGTAAAATTATTGATTGTAAGGACCAAAAGTATCAAAATGACCAAATAATGAAAATAAAAGTTACCAAAAAATGACAAATTTACCAATCCTAAGACTCATTTTTTAATATATATATATATATATTATATATATATATATATATATATATATATATATTAATGACTCTGATTAGAACCTATAACAAACTCATTGATAGATAACTGACATATTGTATTATTGAACTAACTTTTTCAAAATATCAATGGATACGGCTCAGTGATTTCCATCATGCGAGGAAATCCTATAACTTAATTATTTCTTAGTTATTATTATTATTATTATTTATTTTTTTCGAAATACAAAATTGGAAAAATGGTACCGAAACTTTAATTTTATTGCGAGTCTCGATTTATTTTGAATTTTTTGAAATGGGAGATTTGCCCTATTAATTTCTTTATCTATTTATATTGTAATTTTATTATTATTTTTATTTCATATTAAACAAAAAAATATTACAACCTCATCCCTAATAACCTCATCCCTCCCACATGCCTCTAGAAACACACTAACACCATATATATATATATATATATATATATATATATTATATATATATATATATATATATATATATATATAAAGAGAGAGAGGAAAAGTGAATATACATTACAGCCCCACCTAAGCTTAGGCACTATATCTCATAAAAATACATTGTTCTACTATATAAAGAGTTCGATTATGGATTCACGATTAACACTTGAAGATGTGGATTCATGATCCACACAATAGTTTTGATGATGAGGCAAGAACATTGATTATCTTCGGCCTTCGTGATGGTGGGAAACAATAGTGTTTACTGGAGTGAAGTAATAAACGATAATGGATGAAGAAAAACAAGGATGCTAAAACGATAATGGAGGAAAGAAATGTTAAGGGGACGACATATTTACCAAGTGAAAACCAAATAGAGTATAATTACTAAGTTAAAACAATATATTTTAGAGGTTTAGTACTTAAGCTTAGGTGGCGCTGTAATGTATATTCCCTATCCCATATATATATATATATATATATATATATATATATATATATATTATATATATATATATATATATATATATATATATATATATATATATATATATATCTTAATTGTTGCCAGACCATCACTGCCGTCGGACCATCGTTGTCTATGGGACCACGCGACTTGCCAGCACACCTTAGTCATCGAAGACTTATTTTCGTCGGACCACCCAAACCACCTTCGACGACGTAGATTTGAATATATGACAACATAGATTTGAAAAACTTCGTCTTTGTCGTCAAGATCCGTCGAAAACCCTAAACTTTTGTCGTTGTCTTGCTCCCACTTTCACTAATTCAGGGTTTGCAAACCATAGCTCCAAATTCTCAGTTCGTCGCCATTCTCAGTTTAGATTTGTTCGTCTGAGAAGGTAACGTAAAGATGGTGTTGGTGGTGGCGTTAAAAATTGACGGAGAAGGAGAGAAACGAAGGCGGCGACGAGCTAGGGTTTGTTGTGGAAGATGGCGACGAGCTAGATCTGAACTCTGACGAAGGGTTTCTACACTAATCTCTGTCTTCTCGTCACCACCCTTCATTTTCTACAAATACAGGAGGCTCGCCGAAGAAGGAAAGAGAAGTCACTGTCTCTCTAAACTCGTTTTCCAGGTCGTTGTGGTGGCTGTATTATGATTCTTCGAGTGTGGCGGAGAATGAGAGATCCTGGCAGTCGGTGGCGGCGATTTCTGACGGTAGCACCGGTGGTTTCCAAAGAGAGAGAGATAGAGTATTAGTTTATATTTGCATTTTCTTTTTTGTTTTATTTTTAATTATGAAAATTGTAAAATGAATAAAAAAATAGAAAACGAAAATAACAAGGGAAAAACCGTCATATATATAATATATATATATATATATATATATATATATATATATATATATATATATATATATATGGGGATAAGGAATATATATTACAGCCCCACTTAATCTTAGGTACTAAACCTCTAAAATATGTCATTTTAACATGTTAAATATACCCGGTTTAGTTTCACTTGGTAAATATATCATTTTCCATAACATTTCTTTCTTTCATTATCGTTTTATCATCTCCGTTTTCTTTCCTCAATTATCGTTTATTACTTCATCCAAGTGAACATTACTAAACCCTAAACCTAAACCTAAACCCTAAATTTAAACCTTAAAAACTAAAGCTAAACCCTAAACCCAAAATCTAAACACTAAACCCTAAACCCTAGACCCTAAACCCTAACCCTAAACCCTAAACCTTAACCCTAAACCCTAAACATAAACTTAAACCCTAAACCTTAAACTCTATTGTGTCGATTTTGAATTTACATCTTGAAGTATTAATCGTGAATCCATTAACCGTAATCTTTATGTAGTAAAACAATGTATTTTCAAGAGGTTTAGTACCTAAGCTTAGGTGGGGCTGTAATGTATATTCCTTTTCCTTTTATATATATATATATATATATATATATATATATATATATATATATATATATATATATATATATATATATATATACACACCCGAAACTCGCAAAAAAATCAAAGTTTTGGACCAATAATATTAATCCAAAACTTTTTGAACAAAAATATCAATTTTCAACAAACTACATAGACCATTTTTGTGATAAATGTCTTCTTTTTTACTTAATGAAGTAGACTCGACAAAACCTAATTTTCTTAAGCTTAATGGATGTAAGAAGCACAAAAGATTCTTTTTTGTATCAACTCGTTGATATATGATTATTAGGTCTTGGTTTATAGACCTAAAAACTAATTAATATCAGCTTACCCTTAAAGTCTTTGCCTTTACACACTTGGTTTTACATGCAAAAAAATAAAGTCAGACCATTATCTTTGTTTCACTCTTTCAGTATACTATGGCATGATAAAAATACAATGCTCGCCAATAGCAAAATGTTTAAAATGTAGAAGCGTGGAGATGCAAACAACTCTACAAAATGAAACATTTGTCATGGCATGTAGTTAGTAGTTATATAAATTTTTTAAACTATTTGATCAAATGTCTGAAGTGCCCCTTAAGAAGGACAAAGTAAAGAAAACTTGTGGATCATATCCAAAGTTATTAATTCAAGTGTTGATTACCAAACGAAAAATTGATAATAGTAATAATATAGATTTTAAAATATACGTGATGCAGGGGTATCCAAGATTTTTGTCTATAAAATTGGGCTACGGCAAAGTAGGCCCATTTTATGTGTGATGGTCCATATCCATATTTAGATTCTAAATCTATTTTTGGGTAGACACGACACGAATCTCGATACGAAATAAATGGGTTTGAGTAAGATATTTCAACCCGTTTAAATAAACGGGTTGACACGACACGACACGAAAATTAAATGAGTAAGGTTAGGGTTGAGAATTTCAAATCGAATATGACTCGAATATGACCCGTTTATATGCAAGTATTTTGAATTATTTAAATAAACTAGAAAGATACAAAATCAAAACTATAAGTAAAATAAAGCCTTCGAATTGAATTGTTTTATAATGTTGAAATGACTTAGCAGACTAGATCAAGTCTTCATTTCAAATTTTTCATTCTCTCCCAAACTACCCAGTCTCTTTCACCACTATCACATCCTCATAACCTTTGTCATCCACCTCCCCAACTCCCACTCTTTTAATTTTGTCATCTGAACTTGTTATGATTTCATCTATTTTACCTCCAAACTATTTTTTCCTTTCTGCCTACCCAACTCCTACTTTTTTAACATGTTCAATCTTTTAACCTCACATGACACGACATATTTTGAGGTATAACCCTGACCCGAAACTCGACACGAAAATAAACGGGTTGACACGACACGACACGTTAATTAAATGGGTCGGGTTAGGGTCAAACACTTTCAATCTGTTTAGTGTTTCGACACGACACGAACCCGACACGATACAACACAATATTGGGTTCAAGACATGGTAGCCCACTACAGCCTGAATTAAATTCAAGCTGGAGTGAGTAGTATTCACCAAATCTTGACGAGTATTTGATAAAATGAGTGTTTTTAGAAAAATTATTCACCGAATGAATATAGTTTTAAAAACATTTACCAAGGGATTTTGAGATTTATATAAAAAATAATAATAATAACCGTTATTTACTAAACGAGGGAAGCACAAGCCCGAAAGAAATTACCAATGATCACTATCTTTGATTCGTATTTTCGATCACACCAGATTCCACCTCTGTCACTCCTCCAGCATGTGATTTAATCTCAGGTTCGATTTTGAACATTGTTTACTAAACATGGGAAGCCGCAAGCCGGAAAAATTACCAACGATCGTCACCTCAGATTCGTCTCACCAACCACCACTCAACCTTCAGCCACACCAGACTCCACTTCCCTCACTCCTCCAGCCTGGGATTCCATCTCAGGTTAGATTTTGAACGTCTTCTCAACTTAGATTATAAAAATTTCATTCTAGATTTCTGAATGGAATATATTAAGTGCTGGTTATAGCAAGAAGATGATTATGATTTCGAATTTTGGTGTAGAATTTTGTTTAGATTAGATTGTTTATGTTATATTTCTGAGAATTCTCATTTTTGAATTATGTTTGCTGAATTTATGAGAATTGAATGAAATTAGGTCTGATTTTTTATTGCTTGAATATAACAAATGTATTGATTACAACAAGTAGATGAATATTTGAGTTTGAATTCTATTTTCTGATTGCTTCAAGAAGTTCATCTTGTTTGTTTTTGTTTTCTAAAAATCATATAAGCTGATGGCCTTCAAAAAGTTCATCTTGTTTGATGTTGTTTTTTGGTAATTCGGTTTTGGGTAATTAGGTTTTCAGGTTATTTTGTTTTAGGTAATTCAGTTTTTGGGGTATGGGTAAACTAACCAAAACCAAACCAATTAAGATTCGAGTTATTCGGTTTCGTGTAATTGTTTATTCAAGTTATTTAAGTTATTTGGGTACAATGTAAAAGTAACGTTCCAACACACAAAAGCATAGAAAATCAAATTGATATGAACATAAAAATGACATTGATTAGAAACACATAAAATCAGGTTGTGCACAAATACAAATATTTACTTCTCAAATGAACTTTTCAATGCAGCTCAGAAACATTAAAAATCTAAAATTATTTAAGTTTTTTAAAATCTTAAATGCCACTATTCACCAACATCACCAAAAAGTTGAGTAAAATGCTAACCAAGAGTCCAAGACTTAAGAGAGGAGTTATATACTTCTATTCCAATCAAAATTAACTTGTTATTCAGTTCGGTTTTTGGTTACCCGGAATAAGTCACTCAAAAACCATTAACCGAACGATTAAACTTAAACGGTTTTTGGTTACCCGAAAACCAAATAACCAGAACCAATTAACTCATTTTTTATTCGCTTCGGTATTTTTTTACACCCCTAGTTATAATGGTGTTTATAAAAAAATGGTAAAACATTAAAAGAAAAAACTAAAAAAAATAATTTTATATTAAAAAAAAAATCTTCCCTGTAGCTATTGCCCGAAACATAAACGAAACATTTACCGTGTGACAACAAATGTGCTAAATAATCTATTTCTATAAATAAGTTTAAAAATATACCTATTAGGTAAACTCATTTATTTGAATGAGGAGTTCAATTAATACTTTTTTATTGTTCACATAAAAGCCCCTATTTCACACGAAATAAACGGATTATGCCCAATTTTATTATTATTATTATTATTATATATTAAAGTTGTGAAAATTTGTAAGAGTAAACAACCAAACTTTTGTCAATTTCAGCCCTTAAGCTTTTGGTTTTTTGTCATTGTATCTATTAGATGTAGCCCACTTCTTTTGTTAAAATACATTTTGCCCCTTGTAACCTCTGTATGTTGTCTCTTTATTTCTTCGTGTCTTTTTATTTCCTTCTTTTTCGGGGGTCCTTTAGTCATTTTTTAAATTGGAAATGCAGACGTAAGTTCTAGCTGTACTTCACCGCCCGTGTAATCCAATCGAATTCAGATCAGTGTCAATGTCTTTTTGTCTATGTTTCCCACCTCTTATTTTACCTTTCTCCACATCGTCGCTCCAATCGATTCTTCCAGTTTCAAAGGAAGCGATCGTCTCTCTCTCCGTCACCGACACCCTAGTTTGCTTTCTAAGGGTGTTCGTCTTGGTGGTGATCGACGAGCAGGGGTCTCTACCGGAACTGTTGGTAAACGGCTTCCTTCTTCGTCTTGCTATATGGTATGTGTGTGTTAGGGCTGAATACGAAACGAGAAAGTAAAGAAATATCGTGAGAATGACAGATTGCTTCGATTTCAAAATCTAGACCCAAGTCACCTACGGTTTTTTTTTTCCAATCGAAAGGTACGCAACCCTCACTAAGGCAAAACCCACGAGGTTTTCACACTCAATTTACGTTTCTTATTTCATCATGTATCGCCAGTTTTTTTGCGTTTTCCGGTTTTTCTCATGCCCTAACTTTCGCTCTATAGGTTGGTTATGGAAGATGCAATTCTGATTTTTAAGTTTTCAATTTTTTTTGAATGATAGATCAAATTGGGGAATTTTTTATCTTATCTGACCCTTGATTTATCGTTTCTCACATACTCTGGCGTATGAGAAGCGAAATCCAACAATGCACCATCGCATCTTCTTCAACAACATGTAAAGGTATTTTTCTATCCTTGTCAATGAAGTGTTCAATTAATAATGGTTGTTTCCGGTGTTGGTTCCGCAGGAAAACAAGTGACACAGGTTAAAATTTGAACTGCTATTTCACCAATTTGAATTTAGGTACTTCAGTTGTTGCCTTCAAATTGGAATCCTAGCAGGTTGGTTCTATACATGAACTAAAGTGTAAATTTTATATGGATTATATAAAATTTATAATTCTAACTTGGGCCCGTTTAACTTTGTCTTTATGTGATTCTGAAGATGGCTTGGTTGATTCGGTTGGCAAAGAATATTTGTTCTTCAAAACTCATGTACGCGTTACCCTATTTGTCTGTTTAACATTTAGATGGGTTTTTTTACTATGAATACTAAGTGTTTGGTTAAATGTTTCAATGAACAAACAAAACTTAAAGTGTGCTTCAATTTGCAGTTCAGTTTGAAGTGGTATGTCATCGGTTGTGCACTTTATTGTGCATGTCTCAGATTAAAATTAAGAGATTGTCTGTCCAAAATTCAATTTCACATCCAAGTATCTTCTTTTATGTTCCAACTTGGTTACTAATTAATCACATAACATTCTCCTTTTAATGATGAAGCAAATCAGTTATTAATGTACAGAAAGTTGTCTGCTGTGAGATGGGTTGGTGGTGTTGAATTGGAGCTTATAGCAATAGCCACTGGTTTGTTTCTACTGATTATCGCATAACAACTGATTATTGTCTCTTTTACCTTTTTGATATGATATTGGTGTTTATTCTTTATTTTCAATAGGTGGAAGAATTGTCCCTAGGTTTCAGGAATTAACAGCAGGTGGTTCGGATGCTGTCACACTAAAAACATTAAAAGAAAACAGGTGGTTCGGATGTTGTCACACTAAAAACATTGTATTATGAAAGGAAATACATTATATCACTTTTTTTTCTTTGATTTCAGATTCATTTTGATTGGCACCAAATTCGGGTCATAACTGAAGAAGCTTGAGTTCATAATGTTTAAACGTATTTTCAGGTAATGTAACAATTTCCTATTGTGGGAGTGGGGTTTGAGAAAATAACATCCTACTTTTCTTTCTTTCTATTACAACATTATAGATTTAAAAAAAACCTATATGTCTATTATCTCAATCTCATCCAAATACCAAAAAAAAAAAACAATTTAATTTTTTGTTAAAAAAACATGAAAAAAGTAAAATGTTATTTTTGGGTACAAATTTTATTTTAGCAATTGCAGGATGTTGTATCGGGTTTTGATTTGCAGGAGATCGTTTTGTGCTAAAATCAGTCTCTAACAGGAGACCGTTGAGAGTTTGATGACATAAAAGATTGATGGGCTTCTACTTCAGAATCAGAAAATGATCCAAAACCTAATGATGCAAATAAAACAGGTATGTAATATATATGATTCAATTATTTTCATTTATTTTCCAAGTTTTGGATTAAGATAATGTATGAGTATTAGGAAATGTAACTTTGCCTAAAATTATGTTTGGATAGTTGCTATTTTTATTGGTAAGTAATTGTTAGTTTTACCTTTTTTTTATTGAATGTAACTAATTGTAATTTTATCTAGATACAATAATTAACAATTTACCTAGCATATATTTATAATCTTTAAAACGATCTATTCTTCAACTTAAACATGTAAATGGATTAGGTTTTATCCATGTTAAGTAAACAATAAATGGCATCTAAATGGGATTCATACAATAGCTTTAAAGAATGGGATATTAAAGCTAAAACTAACAAATCTGTGAATGCAAGTTTGGTGGGTGTCACTGGAACTAAAATAATTTATGAACCCGAGAGTCATCATTGATTTGTATTTAATGAAAACGTAAGTACTGTTGGATTTCTTTACGCCTGACCCCATCAATCTTCATATTACTCTTTTCTTTTTCCATCTTACTAAGTCAATAAGTTTTTTTTGGATAAAATGACTTTTTAACTTCAAAATGAACATCCAAACACCCTTTTATATATATATATATATATATATATATATATATATATATATATATATATATATATATATATATATTTGCTATAATACGTTTATGAAGATAGTTGTTTTGACTTTTGATGTATAAATTTATTATCTAGAATTATAATAATCATATAATTATTTTATATAAACGTTTGGTAGATTTGGATCTTTAAAAACAAATAATTAAAACTAGCAAAATAACACACTTTTGAAGTATATAAATATCACCATCAAAGAATTATCTATAAGTTACTTTAAGTATCACATTTGCTAACTATCCCATTTCGAAACTTGACATTGGAATGCATATTTGGAAATGTTGAATCTGATGGCTTTTGTAAAATGCTTCAGATCTACTATGAAGGCTTCTTATGCTATTGGTCCTGCTGAGGATTCAACTGTTAGCAAAATTATACAGGTATAAGTAACTAACTTTTATAGTATGATTTGGAGTTTTTATCTTAATCAGCTAAAACCATGTATATAATGGTTTTGTGGCAGCGATCTTTAGGTAGTTACCTACAAAGTTTTTTAGTAGAACTTCGGACGATGCAATCCCCACGTATTTGAAACAGCTTCAGCAATAGAAAAGCAACATATCATTCCTTCAGTTTTCTTAATTTTCATAATCTATTATAAAATGTAGACTTGAATAATGCATTGTATAATTTGTATTTACATAATATGTGGCTTTTCATGTAGGGTTTAGATGGGGTTGGTGTATAAATGAATTTAAATTGAATACAAAAAAATATATTTTATACACCCAAATTTCTTCAGTTAATAACAGGCATGCATTCAGAGCACATATGCTATGATCCAAGGTCTTGATATTCAGAGCGTTACCCTTCTTTGTGAAGCTGATGTGATTGGTAAGAACTGCTTGATCCATTACTGAAAGTATGTGTATTGTTGATTTGTAGGTATACAATTACTAATACTCAACTGATTTTTAGAAAATTGTATTGAAACATTGTCCATATTTTTATGCTGCTTATGTTTGTTTTATAGGGTCTTCGTATTGGCCATAACCTAGCCTTAGCCATAACAAAAACGACACCTTTCGACCCCCGCAACGCGGGGGTCACCTTTCTAGTTATTATTATTATTTTTGTGCTACAGATGCTTCACAATAACTATAGTGAAGATTATTAGATAGTTTTTGTTCATGTCAATCTTGTGGAAGATAGAAAAAAGGAACATTGACATTTTTTATTAAAGTGTTAAATAACTTATTTTTTTGTAAATAAGTTTAAAAATATACCTACTAGATAAACTAATTTATTTGAATATGAGTTCAATTAATATTTTTTTTTCTGCGTTATTGACATAAAAGCCCCTAATTTTACAAAAAAAAAAAGGTTATGCCTAAAGCCGTTTTTTTGCCACAGATGCCTCAAATTTATTGTAACACCTAATTCAGGTAAATGTTTCATTTATGTTTTGAGCAATTAGAAAGTTAAAAATGTGGAATTTGTGATGGCCACAACGTGGTGAAGGATACACCATGACGTGACCATGGCTAAATAAAACGTGCATCAACCTCGTGTGCCACGACGTAAAAAGCTAATGGCCACGAAGTGGTGTTAGAACAAGAACTCAATACACAAGGACAAGGTTTGAAAACTCAAACATTGAGTTAATCATTAAGATCAATGTCTACTCTTAATATAAGGTTCCAGTCAAATCTGGTAATACCAGTTAAGACATGAATACGATATTCAACAAAATATTCAAGATAATAAATGAAGAAAACTTAGAGTATAATCAATGCAAAAATATTTAAGGAACAAGAAGAATGTTTTGAAAGAACTTTGACTTAAAGAAAATTGAAAAATACATGAAGAGAATATTTGCTATTCTGAGTGTAAAACTTTGAATGGTTTACTTGTCAAGTGAAGGACTAAAGGATCTAGTATACATAGATGTGGATCGGTAAGATCTACCACAATGGACAATAAAGTCTATTCGTCATAACTTACTGTTGGTTCAGTAAATATGGTTATGCTTATAAGATTTAGTATAATTCTGGTACCTCGAAAAGTTTCAAGGTATAGCAGAACGAATAAGCAGAACCCATTGGGTAGAACGATAAATGTTTTCTCCAATCTGAAGGGAAAAGAGAGTACTTTAGTATCATTTTTTATGATCATCCTAATGATTATGGAACCATGTCACAATTGATCCTCTAAGAAAACCTTAGTGCATTTATAAGTCTGAGAAGAGGAATCATGTATTGTTGAAATGGTTAAATCAACAAGATGAGTCATACTTCGTTCCAAAATCAAGTTTTAGAGTCATACTCTAGTTACTACAAGTTGTACCTTGATAAACATGTTCTAAGTAGATTTATAACACCTCATGAAATGTGGTGTAGAAATGTTTTCTTGCTCTAGCACATTTGAAATTGGTAGTTGTGATTTTTTGGTTAAAACAAAGACCAACTAAGACCAATTATATGAAGTGTTTTCTTGATAAGAACCCACATTGACTTTTGAATATTTGTTTGTCGAGGAATGTTCATTGACATAGAATCTTATATGTCAAGAAGCCAGTGGGAGTCTTGTTGGTCTTGAAAAGTTTCAGGAGACAATCGAGAATAAACCTTTTAGTAATTGCTAGCACATGACCTCAGGTTGATAACCTATTGTGTCGACACATTCTTGTTTCTGTGCCCATTCCAGTTGAGTTGGAAATGCTTATGAGTTCTATGGATGTCATTTGACTACATAAGGCAAAGCACCTTGATCAGTGAAAGTACATTCAACTGTATGGGTGAGCTGCTCAATAACTTGGAAGCACTGGTAGACCCTTGTACTACCAGATGGCAAGAAATTAAGATTAAGCAAGTTTAGTCCATATGGGTTTGAATTTGTCATAAACCTTGTCTCATGATAGTGGTTGGAAATGACAAATTCACATGGATAAGAACACATACACCATAAAATCTAAGTGGCAAGAGGTTTCTCTCTACCACTTAACCACACGTCCTCATTGGGGTAAAAGACCATTTTACCCCTAACATACTCTTGTCCCAAAATGAAACTCTAAATCATAACCAATAGCCCAAAAGAGATAAATAATACTCCAAAGCCCAATATATGGCCCAATTTCTAATTGGGCCCAATCCCTTCACATGGCCCTAACCCAAGGTCCAAAAACGTTTTCCTAACCCAAAGAGTCAATTCCTGATGGCCCACTAAGGCCCAATGCAAGAAAACAACCCAAAGCGAGGCCCAAAAAAACCGCAGCCCAAATCCACTGAGTACGCGGGGCGTACTCAACTGTACGCTTAGCGTACATGCTGCATAGCTTGTACGTTGCGCGTACGGGCTTGTACACCCAACGTACTCTCCTGTTAAGCCATAATCCCATAAAAGAGCTTAATCCCTTAAGATTTGAAGCTCCAAACACGGATCAGAGTCCATTGAAGGGTCTTAACCCATAAAGTCGATTACTTGGTAGCTTGCATGCCCCTAAATGAGCCTAAAATTGAAGTATAGCAACCAACTTCCTTAAAAATGAACAAAACTCATGCATGGATGCTACAAGACTTCCAATATGGCAACTTTCTGAATTAAGGACTCCCATAACACCAAGGGTGGCAACCCTAAGCTTAGGAAACAATTTTAAATCATAAAGCTTCATTCTTTGGACCAAAGAGGTCCAAAACTCAACAAAAGAGATCTAAGTATTCATAAGGCAAGTTCAAGACTTTATTCATTGAAAAGGTTTGAAATAAAGCAACAATCCCAGATCTACATCTTTTTCTTTGGACCACCACCTTGCTTCAACCTTCATTTCCTTGGAGTATGGATCAAAACACCAAGAATGCTCTCAAGAGGCCTTCCAAACGCAAGAACACACAATATATGAATTAGGGTTTCATGGGAACTGCTTAAGAGTGAGAGGGAGGTTGGTCTTCAAGACATGATGTCCTTTATATAGAGCTCAACCCTAAAATTTAGGGTTTGGGGACTGCAC